CCTGGGGACCGCCGCGTCCCTTCTCCGGTGCTGTAACTCCCGCGACAGCGACGCTCCAGCGGCCGGAGGAGTCTCCGGTCAGACTGCTCCATTTCCGCAGAGACTTGCGCGTCCGTGAGGATTTACCGCCTTTGCTGGGGCGTTTGTAACGTCTTGGAAAGATGATTCCCAGCGTTGGCGCTGTGGGCCATGTGTCGCTCTTGAGAGGCTTCCCACAGAAGACTTGTGTCTGCGGAGAGGAGTGAAATAATCTGTGTGCAGAGCAGCGCTTGTCCTTTCTTGCTTGTTGTGGTTGGGCTTTGTTGCTCTGCAGTATATATTTATTCCGTTTTTCCTAAGTAGGCGTGTGGGATTGAGCTGCACTGCATTACGTGGACTAGAAAAATTAACTTTGACGTTTTTATTTTTAGTCTTTGTTCTTTCTTCAGCTTCAAATTATATGAAGTTATATGAAACCTTTAGAGGAGTGTTTTTATAATCCTTTACTAGTCTGTATTTCCCGTTTCCGAAAGTTGAGAATGGAAATAAGGATCTTCTGAATTGTGGCCATGTGTATGTAGCGCTGGGCATTACCATCTTGGTCTCCTTCTAACTCTCATACAGCTAGAAAGCATTAGCACTGCTGTAAAGATCAAAAGTTAAAGCTCAAAATGGTGAGTACAACAAACCTGAAGAAGTGATGCATTTGACCCAGCATCTCAGGCTCCTACTTCTGTAGGAAACTTCTGGGCATAGAGAAAAGGAGTTGAACTAGTCTGGTTAGCAGTGAGTATGGGGATTAATCATCAGGAAAATAAAGCAGTTTAAGCATTTCTTCTTACATGATTATGAAGCATTCATTTTGTACTCTTTTTAATGGATAATGAAATAATCCTGGTTTGTTTTTTCAGGGTTTCCCCCACCAACTCACAATATTGGGGGATGTTTTCTGGTTTTTGGTTTATTTTTTTTAGTTTAATTCATGTCAGGCTAGTTCTATCTTCTGTTCTGATTATTGCCTTTGCTTTCTTTGCTGGCAGGTGGCCTCTGGAGCAGGTGTTACAGGATTATTCCAAATACCTAGTGCTGAGTTTAGAATCTTCTGCAGTGTAGTCTCTTTCTTCTCGGTACTTCAGAAGCTTCAGTCTACTTAGGTTCTCAACCTCTTGCATACTGTCTTACTTTGTGCATATGAATACCCCTGGGAGCTCTGCAGTTTGCTTCTCTCCCATGTGTTCGTTAAAACGTCTTTACACAGCCTCATGAGTTTAGATGAATGCAAGGTGTGCAGTGCCACCTTTTCACTACTTGGAAGTCTTCTCTACAGCGTGCTTTGTCTAGAAAGTATGATAGGTGAAGTGGATAATAAAGTCCGGGTAGCAAGCTTTTTCTACTTTAATGCAAAAAGTTGCATCTTAACGAATAGTTGTGTTAATACCAAAGTACTAGTTAATTTATTAATTTTTATTAAAACCTAAGTTATGACTTGCACAAACCTTACTCTGACTTGCAGGTTTTTTTGGTACCAGTGATCCTCTCTCTCCTCACCAGTCCTTGCTGACTTTTTTACTGTGTTTGTAGTAGATGGCAGTGATGTACTGTAAAATAAAATCTTTGTTTCTTTCTGCTCAAATTCCAGAATGCCAGGACTAAGCTGTAGATTCTACCAGCATAAATTTCCAGAGGTGGAAGATGTAGTGATGGTCAATGTTAGGTCCATTGCTGAAATGGGAGCCTATGTCAGCCTGCTGGAGTATAACAACATTGAAGGCATGATCCTTCTCAGCGAGCTGTCCAGGAGACGTATTCGCTCCATAAATAAACTCATCCGCATCGGGAGGAACGAATGTGTCGTGGTCATAAGAGTTGACAAAGAGAAAGGTATTTGGGGATAGTGTGGGCTGCATCAAAACTGAATTCAGAGAGAGAAATGCAGATAAACTAGACAGCTTAGGTATTTATTGGTTTTTTTCAAGGGGCTTTTTTTTTTTTAAAACCCTTAAGCTAAATAGACCATCATCGTGCTATCTGGTATTTATGAGAATTGTTCCATTCCTTTGTGCCCTTTGGGAATTGGGTTAATGAAGGTCAATCGCATCAGTAAATATTTGCATAAGTGGGTTCTCACCAGCTCAGTGTTTGGTCAACGAACCATAGTATAGTGAAATTCTCTTGATATCTCTGTAGGTTTTGTAAGATTTAACTGAAGAGAAAGATCATCTCCTGTAAAGATAAAAATCAAAACGGTGAGCATTTGATGCTCACGGTCCAACCTGTTCATTAACAAGTCTGGAACCTTGGCTATAAAATAGATGGCATGTATGTAATTATCGTACCACGTGAATTCTGTAGGTTACAAATTAAGATTGTACAGGCAACTGTCTTTTCCCGTGTTCTGAACATCTGAATCTTTAAAGGGTTTTTAATGTATTTTCTATTTAGGACATGTTGGGTTTTGGTAATACTGTTCCATGCACTCTTTAAAACCTATATCCAGTTACAAAGAAACCATAAATGCGGAGCATGTCTCAAAACCTGACTGTTGGTACAACGTTTCTCAAGTAATATGCCTTCCTAGAATACCTCTGAGACTGCATTAACAAATGACAGGATAAGAAAAAGCAGGAGAGGAAGGAAGGACAAAAAGAAACTTATTTCAGATAGATCTGAAGGGAAATGAGTTTCCCAGCATCTCTAATGAAAGAATACTTCCTCTTATAAATTAATTTCATTCTTATATTAACAGAGAAACGCATCTGGAATTCACATACTGGTCTTTCATTGAATCTTTTGGGGAACCTATAGAGAAGTAGGTGGAGGCTTTTTCAAATTTACTAAGAAAATGAGCAAATGAATTTTTCACAGGTAGTTCTTCCAAAATATTATCCATTGAGTTAGTCAGAATTTGAGGCCAGGCCTACTTTATTAGGAAACTGCTCAGAGCTAAACCGATGGAGTAGCAATCTTGAATGAAATTGAGTTGAATCCTGCAAAAATAGGTGTCAAACTTGCTTTTTTGAATGCTGGCATCATTTTTGCCAAAACTGTGCACTGGCGTAAAATGAATCACTGCTGAAATATTATGAAAATTTCTTCCAAGTTTGCAGAAGAAGATTTAAGGCAGTAATTTTAAAGAATGCTGTACAAAAGATTTGCTATCATACATATTTACAGTTGAAAGAACAATTTAATATCCTAATTTGGATCACAACTTGATCAAATTCATTAAGGTTTGGTTACTCTCTGTAGCAACAGAGATAGTGTAGGCAGGGGGCTAATCCTGTTCCAGAACATTTGTTCTTTATGCTTTTCTTTTGAAGCAGCTATGCGTAGTTTGCACAGTGCCTGACACTTTCCAAATGGTTTTCCCCAACAGGTTATATTGACTTATCAAAAAGAAGAGTTTCTCCAGAGGAGGCAATCAAGTGTGAAGACAAATTCACAAAATCGAAGACTGTAAGTTGCTTTGCTGTATTCAGGCACTGTGTATTGCCAGCCTCTTTCCTGATCAACCAGAATGTGCAGATATAAGATAATATGAAAATAAAGCATTGTTCTCATTAATTAGGCATACTCTGATTCTCATTTACCCATGCAAATATACATAACTGCTTCATCTGTCCATGAGTGTTTTGGTAGGCTGCTGCTTAATGAATAAATCAAGTAAGATGTCAGTTGAACATCTGTGATGTGAAGGGGTATGTTTAAATCATCACAGACCCAAAAGCAGATCCTGGTTTAGCACACTGTGTACAACAAGTCTTACTGCAACGGCACACAGGTAGTTTGTGGTGTTACACTTCCGAGTAGGCAGCTTACCATTAAATATTACTTTTGATTCTAAATTCTTGTTTGGTTTTGGTATTTTGGGTTTTTTAACACCCCTTTTGTGTTCAAGGTTTACAGCATCCTTCGCCATGTTGCCGAGGTCTTGGAGTACACTAAGGATGAGCAGCTTGAGAGTCTGTTCCAGAGAACTGCCTGGGTATTTGATGACAAGTACAAAAGACCAGGATATGGTGCTTATGATGCATTCAAGCATGCAGTCTCGTAAGGACCCTTCTTCTACTACTAGGAGTTTATTTCGTAATTGCAGAGATGTATTTCCTGGAATAGATCCACCTGCCATAATGTTCATTTTGGGGGTTGCTTTCGGGTTTTTTTCAGAGTTGATACATAGAATGTACTGGTCAAGCAAACCTAGTAAATTTTAACATCAGTCTTCCAGTTGCTTGTTGTAGGTTTCTCTGTCTCACTGCTTCGTTCAAATTCCCAGTGCTCTTGAGAAAGGAGGCTCAGAGTTGACTTGTTTTTATCAATCCTGGAATCTGCCACTCTGTGTATGCCAGGTTTTTAAAAGCAGTAATTTAATCTGATGTGGAAAAACCTGAGGCATTGGTGACCAGTATGTTTTCAGTACAAAAGAAACATGGGATTACAAACACTGGTGAGATTTCTGTTGCTGCAGGTAAGCCTGTGACATTTCTAACAGAAGAACGACTGATCTTGGTTCATCTGCCAGAATTTGTCTGTTCTTAGTCCCAGGCAGATGTTATAAAAAATATCTGGCTCCGTGTCCAAAGATACTTCTACACATAGCTGACTGTCACTCTTCCACTGGACAGTCAGAGTTATTTTTTTTTTTAGATGCAACAAGCTGACTTGTTACTTCTCTATAGTTCCAAACTTAAAGAATGAGAATGGGATCTTGAACTTAGACGTGGAATTATGAACAGAAAAAGATGGAAATTGTGATGGTAAGGGAATATGCACTGAGATAGATTGCTTTTAATTTTTTATGAAGTATGATGTTTTAATTTGCTTTCAGAGTTAACCTGTTTGGTTTTCCTCTAAAGATTGTCATGAAATTGGCAATCCAAAAATAGATTTCTCAATAAACATTTCCAGTTTTGCTCTTTCTCAGCACATAAACCCGTGAGTGACCAGCTTGGGCTGAACACTAGATGGCAGCAGCAAAACTGTAGAACTTGGGTTGACTTAAAGCGACAGGGCACTTGGCAGCATTCTGATTAGCTTAAAACCATGTCTGGTTTTGGGGAAGAGACAATTTGCATCCTCAATTAGACTGAAGGTGTTCTGCTTCATAGTATAGTAATTGGCCAGCACGTCAAGGGAGGTGATTCTGCCCCTCTACTCTGCTCTGGTGAGACCCCACCTGGAGTGCTGCATCCAGCTCTGGAGCCCTCAATATCAGAAGGATATTGACCACTTGGAGCGAGTCCAGAGGAGGGCCACGAAGATGATCAGAGGGCTGGAGCACCTCTCCTATGACGAAAGGCTGTGAGAACTGGGCTTGTTCAGCCTGGAGAAGAGGAGGCTCCGAGGAGACCTCATTGCAGCTTTCCAGTATCTGAAGGGGGCCTACAAGGGTACTGGGAGAGGACTTTTTACAAGAGCCTGTAGTGACAGGACAAGGGGTAATGGGTATAAATTGAAATCAGGGAGGTTTAGATTAGATGGCAGGAAGAAATTCTTCACAGAGAGGGTAGTGAGGCACTGGAACAGGTTGCCCAGAGAAGCTGTGGATGCCCCATCCCTGGATGTCTTCAAGGCCAGACTGGATGAGGCTTTGAGCAACCTGGTCTAGTGGAAGGTGTCCCTGCCCATGGCAGGGGGGTTGGAACTAGATGGTCTTTAAGGTCCCTTCCAACCCTTAACCATTCTATGATTCTATGATAATTATTTTCTATGATGGCAAATCTGGGCACACTGCTGCAGAAGGAATTCCAGATCATTCTGTAACTGATAAATACTCAGTTAAACACCTGCATGCTAGAACACAAAACTGTAGTTATACGGGCTGTTTAAGCTTCTCTTAAAGGCAGAAAAAATCCTGACCACACATGCCACTTGTTGATCATCTGCTATGCAGGTTGGAGCACAAACTTGTGAAGCTGTCTGTTTGCAAAACTTGTTTCCACCAGTAATGCCTTAAGATTTCTGACAGTAGATGATTTCTGCATTTTTATTTGTTTCCATTGTGCTCCTACATAAAACTGCATTGGTTGTGTAGAAAAATGTGGATATTGCTGCCTTCCTATGCTTGCGGACTTGCTTCCTGGAGGCACAGTGTGCCCTCTAAGAATTTGGCTTGCTATTTATTTTTCAGTACTGAGGATTGGTGTTTTGGGGTGTCACACAGCAGGATACCTGCGGCAAAATTTTAAAGTATATTTACCCTCTGATCAGTACAAATTAAGAATCCAGGAGCTATTTGTTGATTGCCTACCAAATGCTAGTGAAAGTAACTCAAAGATTTAACAGAATGAATTGTAAATGAAGAAGCAGAATTTGCATGTCCAGTAAATCACTTCTGCTATATGGGTTCATGTTTTTGATGCGTAAAAGAAGTTGTATTTCTGGGTTCTGTTTGCTTATGTTTGGCCCTTCTACTACACTCAGTATATAAAATCATGAAAGATGACTTTTTACTAGCTGCAGAGACCAATCTCCTGTATTGCCTCTGTTTTTTGGACCATATTAGTTCATGTTTGCCTGCTAGTAGTATTGTAGTATTGTACTGCTTTTGAGAGAACTTCAACTCCTGCCTCTTAAGAACAGGAACAGTTTTTGTGAGGAGCCTTTGGGTTATGATCTCTGTTTCAGATATTTTTTGGATAAAGTTAATACAGCAATGAGGAGAATTGACACAACTTCTTCAAACAAGAGCTGATGATTTATATGGATAAACAGCAGAGGAGTTTGCGTTTGTAATACCTGGATTTTTAACTGTTAGCGTGAGACCTGAAAAACCTTTTCTAGTCATTATTTTTCTTAAAAAAACCCGCCAAAAAGATCTCTTCTTCCAGGAACAGATTGAGTAAACTACTTTTCCACTTTGTTGTTAAATGCTTCCAATAGAAAATTTTGGAAATAGATGTGTTTATTTTCTTCCACTGTTTCAATGGCCTCTTAAAAAAATTCCCCGTTTTCCTTTCCTGGTAGATCTCTGTGATTGCACATAATAATTTTGAAGTAGTACCAGATGTTAATCTTGTGTCATATTCCACTTCAGTATCACTTCCGTAACACTGATTTTCTTGGCTCAGAGACCCTGCGATCCTGGATAGCCTAGATCTGACAGAGGAAGAGAGGCGTGTGTTGATCGACAACATTAACAGACGTCTGACACCACAAGCAGTCAAAATCCGAGCTGGTGAGTTCTTTGCAGGTGTTAGTGAACCTGTCTTGACCCATGTCAAGTTAGTGTGTCCTGTTGCAGGCTACCAGCTCTGTTAAAACTAGTATTGGTGGTGCTGATATTTGAGTGGAACTGTTCTTCCAGAATTAAAACACTATCGTGGTTTAACTCCAGCCAGCA